CCCAACCCTCCACACCTCCTCTCCCATTATTTGCATTTGGCCCTATAGTTAGTCGGTAAAAGTGGAGTGAAGGGTAGTTTTGCACTCTGCCCATGAGAGAATGAGCCGTAGGAAGTCGGACCTAGAATCCATCAACTTCTCCTATTTTTACTTCTTGGAGTCTTCGTCATATTTTGTGCATAGCGAATAGTTCATTCTAACTCCTGATCAAATTGAAAGGGTCAAAACGTCAAATAACATGGCACATTTCTGAAACGTGTCCGTCGTAAAGCGATTCGTTTTTGTCAGTTTTCGTTATTCCTAATGACAGAGAAAGCTTCAGAAATGCCAAATACCGAGTTGCCAAGAGCATACGCCCACCCGGCCAGTTCCAGTTCGTCTTCATCTTCAACTTCGTCGGAGAGCAGTGAATCATCACCAGATAGGTAACCGGTATAGCGTAGCAGGAAAGCCCTTACAGCTTGTCAGAAATTTTCTTCAGGCGGCGACGACGGAGGATAACTTCGAGCTCGTCCACGACACCAGAATACAACAAAGCTGCGTGAGTTTACACATAGCTTATTGATCGTAGATATTTTATATGACTTAGTTGGACGAGTTTAACTTGTAACGTAAAAGTTTATTTTACGAGTTCAGGGTGAAAACGCTCTGCCTGATTGCACCGGTCTCTTTTTGTTTCATAACTATTGTTTTGATGAAACGTTCCCATAAAACTTCTTTTTCATGTTCGCTTATGCCCGATTTCAAAGATAGTAATCTGTGCTACTGGGCTTAGGTGGTCTAGTATCGAGTGGGGCGCTTCACACATGCATGGCCACTAGATCGGATCCCGAATCGTTATCCGCCTAGGCCAACCAAGCCTTTCATTTCCTCGATGCTGATGGTCTGGGACGAAGAAAGCATTGACTTGTACGTAGGCTGGCCACTGCAAGCCATCCACTACGGTACCACAATTCTGAATGGAAGTCGAATGCGTGGGCGCATCCCTCTGACGGGGTTGATTCACGCCCGAAGACTTCATCTTCTAAATCTATGCTACAGACTCGAGTATTTTACAACTCAATGGCTTTAGTTTCGGTTTAATTTCAAGCCTGAGAAATGGTTTGAATCCATGGAATCTTCTAGGAAATATTTCAGTTTGAAGAAAACAGCATCACTTATGGAAAGCCCCTACATGTTCACACCTATAGGAGTTTCCTTTTTTCAATCGTCTCCGCTCACTGTTGTGCAGTCTTTTCTTGCTTTTATTTACAAACCTGCTGTAACCGTGAAGTGTATTACTACAAGATACTAATCTACATCAACTAAGGAGGCAGCGATTGTTGGAGAAAAGGTGTCGAAAACGCAGACAGTCGGACGGACATCATCGAACAGAATTACGCTCAACATGCAAAAGCAAACGAAGGCACGTTGATCCTCCCAATGCTAAAATCAAATCATCATCTTCAACTTCATCTTCATCATCATCATCATCATCCTCTTCTGGATCAAATAGAAGCGATTTACCCCGTAAAGCACCTCTGCGTTCCAAGCCGTCTGTGCAACGACCAGCAGCTGCTCTGCATGGCCAAGCAGACAAGTACGTGTTTTTGATTCTGATCAAATTCTAATTTACACGCGAAACTTGCGATAAGAGCTCAAGTGCAGCTTTGTTAAGCAACCCCTCCCCCCCCCCCCCCCCCCCCTTCCAGCGACTAAGGTTTTCCCGGTGACGGTCACTTCATTGAGGAAAACGGAGATCGGTCAGGGCGAACCCACTCACTGCACCTCAGCCCTTTTCTTCGACTCACTACCCTTTTTCATCTGAAATATGAAAACTGTGGCTGCTCGTCTGCCAGTCGATGTGTGTCTGCACTCGATGTCATCACCCTCTGTTGATATGTGCTTAAAAGGAGCAACTACAAAGGTAAAATAAGCAAAAAAAGTTACTCAATGAAAAGTTGAATAAAACAGAGGTGGTCCCTACTGTCAGTTGTTACCTGAAGGCAGCAAAGAGAAGCTGTTCTACCTTCGCTGGGTGATCAGAACTCCCGCCTACAAACTTCGACCGATCTTGTGGCACTATTCTCCTTGCTAGCGGTTCGCTAGGGTTTGTCCCATTCTCGATATGTTACCTTCCTCGGAGCATGTTGCTTTTTGAGCCGCACTGAGCTTCTTCCGGCAGAGGATCGATTTCCTTCTAAACTACTTCAAATGATGCTTTCAGAGGCGAACGATTCTATTCCCCGAAACCAGTTTCCGGCCAATCTGATCGTCCGACATTTAACTGTAAATGTGGAGAGAGATACGGTTCGCGGAAGGTGAGTGTTCAATGAAGTCGGGGAATTCCCTCACAACATAGCCTCGGCACGCAAAAGTCATATGCGTATTATGAAGAATTCCGGAAAGAATTATGGAAGGAAAATTGCCTATCGTTTGTTTCTCAAGTGAAAACTGTCCTCATTCAAAAAAACGTACTTCTCTTTCATAGTGTACCATTTCCTACGATTTTTAGGCCCTTATACATCATACCATTCAAAATCATGAAGCTGACGTACCGTGCTTTGCATGTAATCAGGTTCGATTCACTTTTTTGATTCCTAGTAAGTGTATGGGCATGAACGTAAGCTTGAAATGCGGACCAATGCCATTTCCAGGCAATACCGTCCCTTTCGGAGCTATCGGACCATATTAAAGCCAAACACGAGAAAGCTCTTATTGTATGTGTCTATTGCAAGGTGACCGTATGCACCTCATCAGTCGCTATGAGCTTTAATACTTCCTTTTTCAATGTCCATTTTGTGATTTCAGTCGGTTTTTGGCAAAGCCAATGATATGACAGAAAACCAATGGAAAAGGCTCAAGACACATATGTATGGGGTGAGCCGTGTTTATGAGTTTCTGTTCTGGCATCACTTTTGAAGTATTATGGTTTTGTAGAGATTAGATAAGTTACGTCTGTAGTGTAGTGGCAAGTGGCGCACTTCCATACACGCATGGCTCGCGGTTCGAATCCCGGATCGACTTTCGATTAGGCCAACCAAGATTTCCATCCCTGCTGGGTCGGCCAATGGGTACCAGACTGTTTTAGAGGATAAAACACTGACTTATACAGCAAATGGCCACCACAGTTAACTGCGTAGACCGGGGCACTCGAAACGACATTACGATTCCAAATGGAAGTTGAATGCGGGGCGCATCCTAAAGCGGGATTCATTAGAGCTAAAACTCAAAAGATTCGTAGATAAATTAGATCCAACTGTATCGATAGCCCATGTATGGACTGACTTTTGGAGAAAAAACAGTGAAACTGAAAACTGACCAATCAGGAAGGAAATCAGGTAGTCCCGCCTCCACTCCTGCGAGTCTTCCCTGTACCACTCCTAGGCTTATCCCACCTCGCCAGCTTCGGATTAGATTCAAAGTTAGGGCTTGATTGGCTTTATTGGTTAATTTACTGGTCTGAAAACTCCTTATATGTTCACATTTTCCATATTTCAAGATTTTTTGTTATTTGTTTTTCAGGAACTAGTTTACGCAAAGCTTGCCGAAATGCAGGATTAAGTCAAAGTTCAACTACCTTCGATTCTCAATGGGGAATGAACAGCGTCAAACCAGCGCAGTGTTGTACCGATCCTCTGTGAAAGTCTACTATTTCATGTATCTCAGATTGCTTTCATACTTGTCGCCATCGCTACAGAGTATTGATTAAGCACGCGAAAAGCCAATGCCCATTTCTGGGTAGTTCACTTACGGAGTGCGTTGCAGTGCGAGAGCAGTCTTACTGTTTTGACAGCTGTTTGTTCACGATGTGGTTCAAATCAGGAATTATTTTGTTGCTGAGAATGTAAAGTCTAGTCACATCATCTAATGTACTAAATTAAGACTTGTTTCCATCATTTGACTGTACGGGTTCTATTTGTTCATTGTTACTGCTTCAGTGGAAAAGTAAATCGTTAACCTTTACTATGTTGCGTTTGCACTCTAACGGCCTTGAGTCTTGTTGAGGA